GGGCAAATAAGGACTTCTCAAACCTTTATATTTTCTCTATTTTTGTAACAAAATAGCAATTTAAAATTTAAAAATCTTTTAAAAAAATTACATCACCTTCAACATGGAAGATCTCACTGTTTAAATATCCATGAAAGAGACATACTTGTTTGCATATCTGTTTTGGAATTACATTGTACAGCAAATAATAGTTTCTCAGAAGCATTTCAAAAGTAATATAAATTCGTATTTACAGAATGGTCTTGGTATAAAATATACAACAATCATATTTATGTCTAACATTCTAAGTTAAAGTTAACATCAATAGGAAATAAGTTAAGGTGACAAAGGTGGTCTGGTTCTTGTATCCATTCACTTCAAGTTGCGAGTGAAACGAAGCATCAGTCTAATGCTAGCTATGAGGTGGCACTGGCTATAAGGAAGGTACAGCAACAGCCAAAGGAAACTAAGAAAAGACTACTTGACTGCTTGTCTACATACATTCCTTTACATTTGAGTATTAAATAGATGCGTAAGATCTTCCATACTGACACCAGAATATCAAAACTAACCCTTGGATTTTCAGGTATATTTACAACATAATTATTTCATGGACAGGTTCATTAGGAGAGATATCAAACACCAATATTTACTTAGTCTAATCAGTAACCCTCAGGGAAATGCCAACCCCCACCCCCCAGAAGCGTGCACAAAACAGTTATCAAAATCTTACCCGACCACATAGCTGTGATTTTGTAAAATAACAACTCAGACGACCAGTAACATGATCCTCTTTAAGCATTTTGCTAGCAGGAAAAGCCCTTACATGCAGTACACCTGGTGAAAGATCAGCTTGGCTTAAAATATTCCAGTACAATTTTCAGAGTAAACAACTTCACAGAAGTTAATAAAAACATAAAAAAATGTAAAACTTGTCACAAAGAAAAGTAAGAGGACAAACAAGAAGATAGTAATCATCAGGAGGGAGAGTCTTGCTTTCTTTTTTTAAAAAAAAGTGGATTTTTAAGCTTCTCAAAAAAATATGCCCAGGGCTTTAGTTTGCGTGTGTTTATGAAAACGGATTTTCAGTTGGCATGTCTAACACGAGTCTCAATCACATCTCAACAGGGCATAAATTCATACACTTTTCAGTACTCTGAAGGTCAGATAATGCTATATTACTGTATTTTCAAGGTCTTTGAAAATAAGTTGCCACTGAACAAGCAAAAATTAAACCTGAATACAAAATCATGATTAACAACATTTAACAAAGGTAATACAACCACCTTAAATTCCCAATATTTAGTTTAAATTAAAAACAAAACAGTACAAAAAACAACAATACCATCTTGTTAGTCAGTGCAAACACTACATACAGGGTTTCCAAAGGAAAGCCAAGAGCACCTGATACTTTTTGCCAAGTCATCTGGATTCTATAATCTCCAAGTTGAGAACTATTAATAAAGAGAGAAAAAAACCCCAAAGACAGACCAAAATTGCAGTTACATTAGTGCATAACCTCTCAAAACGGTTGAAAATTGTTTCACGTATCACTTGGGGAAATCAATACCTAGTACATTAGCTGGAGGACTTAGGCACTTGGTTTACTTCTGATAACTTTACTTGGACAAGTAGCCTGTGTATGTGTACCTACAGTACTAAAGCAGAAACTGGCAGGGGGGGAATGGAAACAAAAAGCTGCAGCAAAGCACTGCACCACAGACCTGCAAATAACGTAACAGTGCAAAGCTAATGGTGTGTTAACCCTGTAAAAGTCTCAAGTCCAAATCTCCACCTCTCAGTCTTCAAACAGGAAACAATACTCCATGCGAAGTTCCACAACTAAAGAAAAAGCAGCTGCAACAAGACACAAGTTCTTCTCTCATGAAACAAAATAGAGACAAATAAGTTAGTCTTCCTTTCACTAGATGTATCATCGTAGGATCCTGCTAGTTTAAGTAACTGAGTTGTTAGTTTTCTACAGAAGCCATTTTAAACAAGAATGGCTCAGATACCGCACCGGATTGCTACAAACTCATAAAAAGCTGCTTTAAGCTTAAGTAAAACAATGTCCAAATTCCATTCATTTGTGGAAAGTGAACGCCTTACCCTAGTAAAGTAAGTTTTTTTTTTTTTCTTCAGAATGCTAATGCGAGAGGGGCTTGAAGTATCAAAGAGTCCACAGGAAATGCATGACCCCAATATTATTTTTTTTAAAAAAAATATACATTATATAATATATATTATATATATAAAAAGCTAGTGTAAATGCTTCCATAGTGTGGTCACAAGCTGGAAAGATGAATGCCTTTCAGCTGTTAACCATCCTGCCATTTGCAACAGGCTTTAAAAAGTCGTTTTTATCCTCAGACATAATGTGAGCAGTTTTCAAAATGAGGCTGCCAACACTGACTGATGTGCTGATGGGCAGGCAGCTTGCATTGCTAACAGATGTTGTGATCGGCTGACTGAAGCAAGAAGTTACGGGCAGGATTGTTTTCTGCTCCTCCCTGAGGAGAAAAATAAGTTACACAAATATTAAACAAGTACATGCACAAGTATCTGGAACTGAACTGTGTGCATTAAATAAATACTGACAAACTAATTTTTAGCAACAGGCTAAACATCTTACTACGGAACGGTACGCTCAAGATGTTAAATGTAGTCTGCCTCATTTTCAAAGGCTGCATTACACATTAAAGACTACAGAACATATAAACCTAAAATAGTGTATTTTAAAAACTACCTCTCTATGGAGATTTGTGCAAACAGTATGACATTTAACCTTTTGAAGTTTTTCTTAATTTCTGTTAACTATAAAAATACTTTTGCATTTTTTGCTTACTGAATGTGAAAGGTATTTTTAACAGCTGTGACATGGTTCGGTGTATACGATTACAACAACGCATATGAACAATGGTACCAGCCTGTGACCTTCGTATTTGTGACCTAATTCTATTTCTTAACAGGTTCTTCTCACTTCACCACGTATACACAATGCAGATGTCTAATCCCAGTCTGAGTAGGTACGTAGTTCATCCTTAAACAATCATGCTTCAACTATTCTGACGCTGCTCTTTGCCTAATACTGGCAGACACTGCTGTTTTGTCTAACACTCACAGAATCACAAGGTCTTCACCTAAACTTTGTCTCTTCTGTTCCATAGATTCTTTCTGGTGCTGCTTTAGCGGATGCCCATTCTCTACAGTTGTTCCATTGAGCAGCTGATCATCTTGAGAACTAATACCTAGCTGTATATCCAGAATCTCCTACAGGAGAAAAGGAGAAATGTCCATCAATATCGTCGCTCCCAGCTTTGCATTTTCCTATCATGTTCCACTACATAAAGCTGATGGAAACCCGAGTCATCATAAGACTATTTTTATTTCATACTATTGGAACGTCTACCACATTTTACTACAGGAAAAAGGAAAAAAAACCCAATTATTCAAAGATGGCAGTGAATGACAAACAGTGGTATAAACATCAGTTTCTAAAAAATGGTTTATCAGGTGAGATACGAAGGAGGCAATAAAGGCAGTGACAGCTGTTTTAGTAATTATGGGTAGAGGAAAGGCTAAAGTTAAAGGTCCTTCCACCCACGTAATGGTCATTCACAATTTGTACTACAGTGTGGCATTACATACCACAGGCAAAGCAAATAAAAGCTGTAGCCAGTACTGGAATGTATTACTGAATATGTTCCAGACAAGAACCTTCATTTCTTTTAAGTGTACGATGCTTTATAAAAAAAAAAAAAGGGACCATTGATCCTAATGCTTGGAATTAGTACCAGAATGTTTTATGACTGCACAGCAAAGGAGGAAATAACATAGAAGAAACTGGGGCAGATGCACAGAATTACAAACAATGAAGCAGTAGTGGAAGCAAAAGAACACTGGATGACAATAATTTAAATGACTTTACTATTAGAATCAAATAAGCACAAAGTTTAAATTAAATGATCACATTTAAATGTAAACTTCAAGGTAAACCGTTCTTAACTATAGTTTCAACACTGGAGGGGAAGGGGAAAGGAACAGAATGCCCATCATCACTAATGCTACCAAAAGATAAAGCCCAAAGAGCTGAAAGCTATGACAAAGAACACAATGAGCAGTTTTTAACTTTGACGATATAAACCACCAGATATCTGAACGAGAGAAGTACTGGACCCCTAGTGTTAAAATAAGGCAAGTGTCTGGTACCACTACAAAGACTAAAGGCGAAAGGCTTTGCTATCAACATAATCTCTTAACTCGCAAAGTGATTTTAGAAGTTTTTTAATAACTAATGAAAGGAGCCAGCGACCTCTTTAGACACACAGATTTTTGTACTTACTTCTATTTGTTCACCTTGCCCATCAGGTTCATCTGTATCAAGGGCTGACAGCTCTAATTCAATGTCTCGATCTGGCTTTGTGTCTGAGCAGTCTTCAGTATAATCAGTCTAAAAAATAATTAGTATGTTCCGTAAATACCACATCGGCTTTTCACCTGTTTCACACAACACTCAAGTATTCAAGTGAAAACAGAAGATGCATTTCTAGGACAACACAACACAAAATTTCTACAACACAAAAGAGCTAGTTAGACACAAATAGAACTTTGGCATCGACAATATCGGATACAAAGCTAAATACAATCACATTAAAGTACTGAAACACAGAGATAAAATGAATACTGAAGTAGAAATTTCTGTAGAGTTCACTGGCAGAATGTTTAAATTTCTAGCAGGTACAAAGAGAACAAAAAGTCACGCATGAAAATGGATCATCACATTCTTCCCATTTTGTAAATGGACGACTGGAGCAGCAGCATGGCTGGTGCTCCTACTTGATCTCAGGGAAACACCTAGGTGCAACAACAACACTGACTTAACGCGCACAGAATGTGCTATAAATATTTAGGAACATTAAAACTGAGAGTTTTAACTCTTAGTTGAAATGCATGCATCTATGTACATACAAAAAAACCCTCAAAGATTTGTTTCATCCCAATTACCCCTTTCTTTACCTCACCATTCCTCAAATCAATTTCCTTGCTTAAAAGATTTAAAGTAAGACGACTGCCTTCATCTAGAGAATTCCACTTCTGTTGCATGGCTAGTGCATTCGCCTCTCTCTGCAGTAATAATGAGTTACTTTTGGCCTAGGGAAAGAAACACATCAGTCACCAACAAGTAGACTTAAACCATGTATTGTCAAATGGCAAAATAAAGCAGCTTACAAAACCAACAGTTCTCTTGCTACACGGGTAACTATGTCTTCCTTTCATGCACAGCATCAGTTTTGTTCTGCATTTGCTGACACGTATCAGTTGTGGCGAAAATGGCCTTACTGATGTCAACGGAATAGCTCGTATTAGCAGCCTTTATGCATCGCAGTAACCTAAGTGTTGTAGGACTAGTACCTAGTTAACCCTTACTGATCATTTTGGCAATTGTTCGATTTTCTGCAGGCCACGCTAAGAAAATTTATTTTAAATCTGGTTTGTTTTTTTTTTTTGAAGTGAAAACCCCACATGGTATAGTATCTGATCTTACCTGCTGTAATTCAATGCTCAATAGATCTCCAGTGCTGGAATGCTTTCTGTGACCAGACAAATCTGTAACTATGAACCTGTCCCTTAAAGAGAAAGAAGGCAAAACTAGGAATTAAAAACAAGTTCTGTAAATCAAAGCTCCCCATAAACTTCAATAGTCTATCAAAGTTAGATTTTTGGACAGAAACTATGTGACTAAGATAACGTGCTCTTCATCTTCATTGGGGCTCACAATATCCCAAGGCTTTATGTGAAGCAAACATTTTTATTTTACATATGGGTAAGATGTGGCAAGAAAACTGGAGAAGAAACTTCTCAAGATCACAGATTTTGGCATGACAGCTTGGCAGTACCTGACCCCAATTCTTTGATTAGGTGTCTCAAGGGATACATCGCTAGTAATTGGGTATTGTTAGCTGCAGTACATATTAAAGACTTCACAAGTTTTAACCTAGTTTTTCCAAGACTTTTTGCTGGACAGGAAAAAACATTAAGAATGTCTGTTAATAGTTCCAGATATCCCACCCCCACCGGATTCAGAATTTCGAAGAACAGCAAGCTATAGAAAATGCTGTTAACCGAACACAGAAAAACCCTCCATACCGTTCTGCGTAACGTGCTGATGAAGTAGAATCTGATCCATAGGCACTCCACCTTGAGTCAACAGCATTGACATAAGGGACATAATCTGTAACAAATTAAGATACCACTCATTATCTCCTCTGGTCTTAAAGCGGGATAGACGGGTATTTTAGCTCTTTGCATCTTCACTGCTGCAGTAAGCACGAGCAGGATGAAAAGCGCACGATGTAAGCTATATTGTCACACGAAGTCTGTACTTGTACCTGATACGCTGATGGGCTTAGTAGCACTTCCTTGGGAAGCAGTGGCCTGAATAGGATCTGTCGTGTGATAACCTGTGCGGGATGACCTGGAGATTGCACCCCACTTGGAGATGATCGGTCCATCACTAAATGGGATTATAGGATCTTCTTCCTTTGCCCTTCTCTGAGTTTCAAATAAATGCACTCTCCTTTTAACATCCCCGCTGTCCAAATCCTATATATTTAGGAGACAGAAGACACATGGACTCACTTGAGGTCATTCAGATTCTTCAGTTGGCCAATAACTTTCTGATTATTGTTGCTGAATATAATGCTGAAAACTTCTCCTACTAGAGCGCCAAGATGGGCCTCAATGATTTAACTACTGCCCTTTAATGGCAAACTGACCACGAGAAAGCCATTACCAGTGCTAGAAGAAATAATTTTGCTTTTCCAAGCTTGTGCTTCCAGGCAGAAAGAGCTCCAGTATGCTTTAAGGTCCTTCAGTACCCTTTCCTCTACTTGAAGGAGGCAGCAAAGGCAGCTTGGGACGAGATTTGATTACACTTGTTTTGTAGAACAACCTGCTACACTATATAGCAGAAAGTCTCCAAAAAGCATGAGCTCTTACCCCTTCAGAGGTAAGCTGCATTCCATGACTCATAGTACGTATTTTTTGTTCCCTAAAGTCTTTGTTAAGTTTTTTTTCCCCCCCTTCATGGAAATTGGGTAATAAGAACTAAGTTGTATTTTATTTTCCCAGATTTGTTGCCATTAAACTATTTTAGAGGAGAATGTGCCTTCCAACCATGTAAGAGCTGTAGTCTAGGAAACTAGTTCATACGGATTCTCTGTGGGTACAAAGCAGCCAAGATTAAGTTCATGCTGATTATTCCGGGTCCATGGTGTCTCAAATTTTCTCTGTGAGTGTAAACTGCTCTTGGCATTAACTTCAAGTAAAGATTTTCTGAAACAATGGCAACATAAGAAACCGTAGAATCCCAAAAAGGCCAGTGATTCATTCAGACAGGACGGACTACCGTAAGCCAAGTAGGAAATGTGTTTCTGCGATGGAAACACCTGCTCTGAACTAGCCACAGTGACCCTGTAACAACCAGTCAAGCCTGTCACTACAATGTGTTCTGAGACTACTTTAGATGCCTCAGAAATTGTAAGGATGTATGTGTCCACATATGCATTTATGTAAGAACTTTGAAAAGAGACAAAATTAAGAAGTAAAAAAATTTGTATCCCACTAACAATCAAAGAACACATTTAAAATTAATGAATTCTTCTCAGTTTACAGGGCATCTACTCAAAATATTTTGGCTACAAAATTTGATTTTCAGAGATCTGTTATTAAAATAGCTGTTTCTGACATCTGAGAATTTTATTCATGGCGCTACATTTGGTCACTGAAGTAAACACATTGTTTATTTACAAAACTGGGAAAAGATCTTCCAAATAACCTCAAATGGGCAGAACTACTTTAAAATACTAAGAACAGAAGCTATCAACTTTAAAATTAGAAGAAAAAAAGGCTCGTTTAACCAAACAGAAGACACTTCAGCATGTAAGTACTGTTACACTAGTGAGATAACATGCAGAAAACCCCTACCATTAACACGGCATTTGAATTGGCAATCACATCCTTGGGCTCTGAGTCGATAGCATTTATACAAGAGCCAATAGTGCCACAAGACCACGGTGAATAGTGAGAGAGATGGTCTTCCTCAAATTTAGTTCCACTCAAATCACTGACACTCTCTGAGAACTATGGAAAAGGGAATAAATAAGCAGTGAATAATAAAAACAGGGAATTCAGTCTTAAAATAAGAAAGACATTTACTGCTATTTAATTATCTCAGAAGTAAATCAAGGAGTTCTAGCTGTATTCAAGACTTGACTCAGGGACAACATGAGCCATTCTGTCAAATTTTAAACCAGTGCAGCTGACAGCTGGCAAAGAAGGGCAGGCTTTGCCACTACAAATAACTGCCCGGCCTGCCAAGATGCGAGACTGAAATCAGTGTCGCTGTATTAGTGGCAGGTTTCTTCAGGCAAATACCTACAGTAATTACACCGAGAGGAAGCCATGCAGTTTCCTTTAATGCATAAGCCAGTGGCAGATAGAAGTATGACTTGGAACCCGCCAACATGGATGAAAAGGACTAAATCCTGCTCTACCTTGAAGGCAGCCATAAGGGACTTCAGGTACGCCTACCTTACGAGGTCTTTTCTGAAAATGAGTCTAACACCTCAAATATCGTCAATGGAACTGTCAAACCACAGCAGAGGGCTTGGCACAATGGTTCTCAAACTAGTTTCTTGGATGCATTTAATTTACACATATAGAAATATATATCATAAGGTTTTTTTTTTTTTCTTCAAAAGCACACTACTCCTGCTCGTTGAGTTTGCGTTCTTGTTTACAGAACTCATCACATGAGCACGCAACGTTTGCCAAGGCGTTTTGCCCCTTGTGCTGGTACAGAGTTAAATTCCTGCCCAGCAGCCAGTGTGGGGCTGTGGTTGGGATTTGTGCTGGACGCAGCGCTGGTAACACAGAGACGGTTCAGCTGTGGCTGAGCAGCGCTCACGCAGCGCCAAGGCCTTTGCTGCTGCCCACACCACCCCACCAGCGAGTGGGCTGGGGGTGTCCACAGGGGACAGAAGCTGGGAGGGGGGACAGCCGGGACAGCTGACCAGAGGGATATTCCCTACCGTATGACATCATGCTCAGCATACAAAGCTGGGGGAGGAAGAAGAGAGGGGAGGACACTCAGTTACGGTGTTTGCCTTCCCAAGTAACCGTTACACGTGACGGAGCCCTGCTTCCCTGGAGACGGCTGCACACCTGCCCGCCGATGGGATGTAGTGGATTAATTCCTTGGTTTTGCTTTGCTTATTAAACTCTTTACCTCAACTCACAAGTTTTCTCATGATCCTCTCCCCCATCCCACCAGTGGGGAGAGTGAGCGAGCAGCTGTGGGGGGCTTAGTTGTCGGCTGGGGTTAAACCACGACACCACTTCTAAGGGACATGTATTCTCTGGGACTTGACAAGCATTTGCAGCTTGATTCAGTCTACTCATCATGTCATAATGCCATCTGGAGTATAAAAGGGAAGGTCCTTCTTAATTGAAAAGAACTCCTGATCCCAGTACACAAACACCTGGACATTCCCAAAGCTAGTTTAATAAAATTACATTTCCTTTAGTGAGGGTAAATTGAATCACTTCACTTCTTGACCTTTTTTCCACAATCATGTTTAGCATCAACTTAATATCAAATTGAATGCATCCATTATTAGATATTACTTTGCTTTTCCTAGAAGATTAAATTAATTTTATGAACAATAGATGGCAGGTAGAAAATCTTTCCTGGAAATAGTAAATGGCGTCTTACAGAAATGGGAAGGGAAAATAAAGAAGTTGTTTGGCTTCCCACCTCTGTGCTGAAATCTACACTGAAGAGAGGAGAAGGTGGTGTTGGAGATGGTGTTGCCATAGGAAGGGTTGACGATACCAGAGGAGTTTTCTGCGTGTGGTACTGCGCCCACTGCTCCGGCTTCCGTCTTAGTTGCTCATCATAACCAGTCTTCAAATGACCACAAGGCTCCTAGCAATAATAAACACAGGACTGTATATCCTATCATACTCTAATCAGAAGGCAAATTGGACCCCCAAATTCCCTTGGGTCTGTAACCCTCCATTGATATCACCACAGGAATTTCACAAGGACTTGGAGAACCCGGCCCACGTATGGCAATTCAAGTCTTAAATACAGAATTAATTCAAGCAACACGCATGGGAATTAAAGAGGCAGGGGGGCTCTGGTCCTAATGCAGATTAGAGTGGGCTATTTTACAAGGCCATTTTATTAAGGTTAAAAACAAGAACTTTGTCCAGGTCACATGCCTCGATCACCGTAACCCCAAACAAGCAGAAGAGGCCTATGCTAATTATTTACCAACTTCTCAGTAATGACCTTCAGAACCAAGACGACATCCTTCCCTTTCCGGCTCTCACTTACCCTCGGTAAAGGCACAGTCCTCTGCTCATTTGGAGGTTGACAAGCCACAGAGTAATACCCATCCAAAGAGTTGTATCTCTCACGTAATGATGTCTGATAGACAGATGAGTGCATCACATCCATGGGAGGTAAAGAATTGCTCCTAATAATATCATCTCGTGGGTACATCTGTGGGCGCCAGATGCGCCTGCTGTCATAAACTGGAGCATACATTCCAGAAGGGACAGGAGGAACTGGTCCATACGGCTGCGGAGGAGGAGGTTGGTAAGGAGAATTCAGTCGATCTCGAGGGGGAAATGTACTGTAATGATCGGCATATGGCACGGAAGCAGGTGGGAGGGAGGATTCTGGAACGTTATTGGACCTCACAAAGCGAGGAACACAGGGAGCCACACCAGCTGGTACTGTTGGAGGTGGTGGATAATATCCTTAAAAATTGGAAAAAGGCATATTTAATGTAACCACAAACGACCCAGAATTTTACACCTTCTAAAACTGTAAATAGTGTTGATAAGTACCTTTAGAGAACGCAGTCACACTTTACAGACCTGTTACTGACCCCTATCATTTTTCTGTGGAATATAATTTCATGTATGACAACCATATTTGCAGATATAGTGCTGACCCTTTACCACTTTGATCCAATCTGGAAAATGGAGTTTCTCTGCCATTGCTCCTATGTACTATGGTACAACTATGCAACTGAAAAGACAGCATCTGAAGCACTTCTTTCTATACAAAGTTAAAATAGCGATCTCTAAAATAAAGAGCTGCATTCCTGAAAAATAGCAATTCCAAGGTCCATAAATAACCAATTCACACTTGGCTTACTCTTTTTCCTTTGGGGAGGATTGTCTTAGCACCTCTACCTTTTGTTTTGAGAACTTGTGAATGACCTGCTGCTATAACACCTCATGGCTTGCCTGAATAGAAACAGGCACAGCACAACCTAAAAGGGTGACTGAAACCTTTCAAAACCATCTGAGCAAGCACAAAGATGTGCAAGTCCCACAGTAGAGGCATGCTACGCGTAGGGATGCCCTCACAGATGGGGCATGAGGTGAGCAAGCCTAAATAAATGCAATTAAATGCTAACGAAGGAAAAAGTAGATGAAAAACCTCGAGGTTCAAGTTTTTCTGGACGCTGAGGTACAAGCTTCATAACATACAGGACACAAAGACAAGAACTACCAACACTGGTGCCTCTCACTCAGCAATGGACCAGATCAGTATTTCATTAAGTGAAGATTCAGCTGATATTAAAAAAAAAAAATAAATCCACAGAACTGAGACAAAAGTTATTTCTCAGCATTCAGGCTTATCTAGAGAAAACTTCAGAGCTGGTTTTGATTCAGTGCCTCATCTCACTCACCTGTCTGCGGGTACTGTGGAACTTCATATGACAGCTGAGTCCTGGGATCTTGGAAATATTGAACATTATCAGAATGTGGAGGGTAGACAGGTACTCTGGGAACAAACGGGCTGGATTTTGGAGGCACAGAATTAACTTCTGCTCCAATATTAGGAGGACCAGCTGAGGTAGCTGCTGCCTGGCTTACAGGAGTCTTGGGTGGAGAACCAATTTTACTGAAAAGGATTACCAAGAAATCATTAAACAAAACTTTACTTATTTCAGTTAGTCATCTCTTCGTGTACACTCCTACGTAACGTGGAAATTTGGGCCATGTCATTTCCTCTGGAATTTTGTTTTTCATACCCCAAACTGATACTATTACTACATCTTAGACTTTCTCCTAAGAGAACTCAAAAGCAGATATAAATGTTTTTGTATGTACCCAGAAGCTTACATAGAACTTGTAAGTGTATTCTGGTAAAGACAAAGGCTTTGGAAAGTTGTTTAGAGGCTCAGTGCTTCCTGGAGAAGTATCTAAAGAGTTTAAAGGGAAAATGCCAAAACTAGAAGGTTTCCAGGATTATTAAGGGAGTGCACATTATGCGCACCCTTCTCAGTTTCAGAAAATGTCAAATTTTGAGTGCAAGTGTTTTGTTTCATTTGTATGTAACAGCCCAAAGTAAGAAATACACCAGGCTGAAAACAACAGAGTAAAAGAGAAAGGGAGAGCTTCA